ATTAATAAAGGATTGATTGATTGATTGATTGATTGATTGATTGATTGATTGATTGATTGATTGATTGATTGATTGATTGATTAATTGATTGATTGATTGATTGATTGATTTTGCCTGTTTTGGAGACGTTGTGATTCTACATCGATTTTAAAATGTTTGACAGCTGTCAGAACTGCTGATTTAGCACTTAAAGGTGCCAGTCATAAAATTAGAATATCATGACAAAGTTGATTTATTTCAGTTACTTTCAAGTAAAAAGTGAAACTTGTATATTCGATTCATTCATTAGTGATATATTTCAAATGTTTTTTTCTTTAATTTTGATGATTATAACTGACAACCACAAAAAATCCCTAATTCAAGATCTCATACTATTGAAATATTGTAAAAAGTGTAACAGAATGAAATGACTGTTTTCCACCAAAAGTCATTTCCCCCCCCCCTCTCCTCTGACACAGAACTAGTCTGCATGAGATAGGGCCTCAAGGTCTCATGCATTTGCTATAAACTGCTTCCTTTCCAGCTCAAGAGAAGAATGAAGAAAGGACTCTCTCCTTTTAATAAATCAAAGAACTCTATTTTAATAGCTAATCAAACAAAGTGTTAGTCAATAAATAAGATGTGACCAATCTGTGAAATCAAAATAATAATTACTTTATTATAATCCTATAGAATATAATAAGTAATATGACTTTAAATGTTTCCACTAGGACTGATCACACATAGCATTAAGAGACAACACATTGCTTTCACTGATCCAATCAGAATCTGCCAGATCTGACGGAGGCGTGGTTTTGGTGGTGTTTGGTAAATCTGTCATCTTTTCATTCGACCATAAACCAAAACATCCGAAGTATAAAACTATGCCCACGTCATCTTTAACGCCAGTTCAAAGCGTTCTAGAGAGGTTGTCGGAGTGGCCAATCCGTAACTTTCCTCTTCAGCCGAAAGAACCAACGACAAGCTGGATAAAATCTGTTGCTGTTCCACCTTTCAAAATAAAAGCTGAACCGTCACGACCCAGGTTTGGGTCTCGCTAGATGCCAACAAAACTGTCGTGACCCGGGAGTATCTCACAGACTGGCGGTCGGCGGCCGCGGCTGTTTCTACAGGCTTTGGCTCCATAAAGGTCAAGCTGGACCTTTACACCCCCTGATCTAACGGGGACTTCCGCTAAGGGTACGTAGACCGACAAATGGCGTCGAATGTGTTTATGAATCTCCTAACCAAAGCTTAGCGCGAATACATCACCTTCATTTCCCATCAGAACTAATCGCTTCTTCGGATTTGCTGGATCTGAACAACATTCCACACTACACCATTCTCCGTCTCATTCACCTTAGTTACACCATCAATTTAGTGTTAAAGTCAGTCTAGTTTTAATTTGTTTTAATAAATCTTTAAACCTTAAACTTGACACTCTCTCTTCTGTTGTCTCTGAGTTAATACGAAGCTGTTATCTAATCCCTGCAATAAAAAGTTCCAATCTTCTGGTTAAACAGTACCCACAGATCCATAAGGTTGATTTCATATTTACTATGGAATCTTTTGTCTTATGGCTTATTAAATAACACGTAAATTAAACTCATTACAAAAGGTTCAACACTGAACACCCCTGGTGCCACACTAATCAGCCAATGAACTCAAAGCATCTGCAAAAGCCTTTAAGTAGTCTCTATCTAGTTTTGTAGGCTACACAACCACGGGGAAGACTGCTGACTTGACAGTAGTCCAAAAGATGACCATCGACACCTTTCACAAAGAGGGCAAGACTCAAAGGTCATGGCTAAAGAGGCTGGCTGTTCAAAGAGCTCTGTGTCCAAGCACATTAATAGAGAGGTAAAGAGAAGAACAAGATATGGTAGAAAAAAGTGTTCAAGCAGTAAGGATAACCTCACTCTGGAGGGGATCGTGAAACAAACCCATTCATAAATGTGGGGGAGATTCACAAAGAGTGGACTGCAGCTAGAGTCAGTGCTTCAAGAGCCACCACTCAAGACCTGGTTTCAGCTGTCGCATTCTTTGTGTCGGGCCACTCTTGGACAAGAGACAGCATCAGAAGCATCTCGGCTGGACTAAAGTCAAAAGGGACTGGACTGCTGCTGAGTGCCTTTGGAAATGAAGGTCCCAGAGTCTGGAGAAAGAGAGGAGAGGCACTGAATTCACATTGACTGCATGGTGGGTAGCACAGTTGCCTCGCAGCAAGAAGGTTGCAGGTTCGAAACTCGGCTGCGGCCTTTCTGCGTGGGGTTGCGTGTTCTACCCATGCATGCGTGGGTTTCCTCTGGGTACTCCGGTTTCCCCCACAGATCACAACATGCCCTATAGATTCACAATTGCACGTCGCTTTGGATAAAAGCGTCTGCCACATAAATAGAAACATTACTTGAGGTCCAGTGTAAAGTTTCATTGGTGGTTTTAGGTGCCATGTGATCTGCTGGTGTTGGTGTTTTCTGAGGCCCAAGGTCAACACAGCCGTCTAGCAGGAAGTTTTGGAGCACTTCATGCTTTCTGCTGCTGATCAACTTTATGAAGATGCAGAATTCACTTTCTAACAGGACTTGGTTCCTGCACACAGTGCCAAAGCTACCAGTACCTGGTTTAAGGACCGCAGTATCCCTGTTCCTGATTGGCCAGCAAACTCGCCTGACCGTAACCCTTAAATCTATGGGGTATTGTGAAAAGGAAGATGCGACACGCCAGACCCAACAATTCAGAAGCACTGAAGGCGACTATCAGAGCACCTGAGCAGTGCCACAGTTGAATCGACTCTCTTTCTCATTTCACTCCATGAAAAATTACCTTCAAATCGATCTTTCAGTAGAAGATTGGAGCAAGGCCTTTACCAATGGTACAAGGTTCAGAATTTCACAATACAAATGGCTGTTTAGAACATATAGTACTCCTGTAAAATCATACTGTTCTAATCCCAACATTCCCAGCGTCTGTATTAAGCGCGATAAAGAAAAGGGAACTTGATTTGCATGTACGTGGGAATGTAAGGTATTGCAAATCTTTTGGTAAAGATCTCCTGACTTGATTTCAAGGTTAATGGAACATGTTACTCCGGTAACACGCTCACTGAACAGTCCCAGCCACGCGAACAGCTGTCAAACGTCCTCTGCTACAGGCAAACAGAACTCTGTTTATTGGGAGCTCCTGACAGCGGCACCACTTATACGTGTGCATGACTGGTGAAACAGAGCACTATGAAAACCAACAGAAAAGGACCGGTGTTGTGTCAAAAAGTGTCCCTCTCTTGGTGTAACTCACTCTCTCAATGTAATACTTTGCTTTAATAGCACATGGGATGGGGGGGGGGGGGGGGGGGGGTGCATCTATAACCCTTTTTTTTAATGACATCACACCTCTCTGGAACATAATGGGATGGGTGAGAAGCATTACTACCCTCTACATTTTCACCTGAAGAAGTGCTGTTCCAGCTTCCATCCACTAATTATTTAAAACACTCCCTTTAATAAATTTGCAGTTTCAGATTTAATAACTGTGGGGTCAAATACCATCCCATACGGTCAATAGACATTTAATCAGACCTCCCTGGACTTGAATCAGCTGTTCCTCTAATAGTCTTCACCTCCAAATTAGAACACTGTGGAGAGCCTCGGGTGGAGATCTCATTTTCTAGCTCCTTAAGGCTGCTGGCACACATTTATCTCTCTCGTGTGTGTGTGTGTGTGTGTGTGTGTGTGTGTGTGTGTGTGTGTGTGTGTGTGTGTGTGTGTGTGTGTGTGTGTGTGTGTGTGTGTGTGTGTGTGTGTGTGTGTGTGTGTGTGTGTGTGTTTCCCACCGGGCCTCCATCCAGGGTGGATGCTTTAACAAATTATCCATTGGGAGACTCCCTGACAACCAACTTCGGCACAGTTCCTGAAGCTTTATTGTAACACACACACACACACACACACACACACAGTGACTGGGGCATGCTGGTCCCAGGGTAAACTCGAACAGCATATCTCGTCAGCTCAGAGGAAGTGTCAATCAGCATGTCCAAGTCAGCTAAAGGGACTTGTCTACGCCAGCAAATAAGTAGCTGTCCTTGTCCTTCACCACTTCTGACAGCTACGACACTGCTGTTGTCGGGACATTGCCTTCATTTATTCTAGTGTTTGAACTTTATTGATCAAGGTTGTTTTTTTATTTATTTATTTTTGTGGTGCACATCGAGTTTAAAAAAGCCTAAAAGGAAAATTTGGACATGACTTAAAGGTTGGATAATGTGACGACTTGGAGATCTTTAAGAGATTTAGGTAACCAGCACATTGGTAGCCTGCCAAGCCATCCTATTTATGTGAATACATATGTCTGTCCTAGACTTCTAGGTTAGTACACAGGAGTACTAGCAGTGTCTAAAAATAATATTGGCTGTTTATAGTTAGTCAGTGTGCTTTAGAATGGACAGGGGTGGATAAATCTGATCAACATATGTTAAGCATAACGAATAGTTAATTAAAAATAGAAATAAAAATTAGAAGGCAGAAAACAATCAAGATACAAAACAATGCTGCTGTGCCTGACTTCCAAGTACCGTTAAGTGATGATTTGCTGCCATCTAGCGGACAAATTGGGCAGAAACAATTGAAAAGAAAATATAATTATTATTATTATTTTTTTTTTTGTAAATTGAGAGTATCAAAATGTGTTTAACAATAACTTCTGTATGTAGAAAAACTAAGAAAAAATAGAAAAAAAACTTGGGTGTGATAGTTGATTTGTGTTTGATTCAGAATGAATAAAAATGGTTCAAAAATATAAAAATCGTAATTGTAAATTTAATTAAACGCAAAAAGTCTGCTTGAATATAAACTAACTGGATTCTAATTTTCAATTTCTATTGTAAAAAAAAAGAAACAAAAAGAAATTTTTGATTAAAGTTAACGCTTGAAACAACGAGCCGGACTAATTTGTCCCTCTGCGCTTTCCGTTGCTGTTATGCAAAAGTAGACGAGCTACGTGCAGGTAGGAACAACTTGTACTTGTGCTGTCCGTTAAAATGTTTATAGCAGACTTTTTCATATAAAATAGCCGGACAGTCTTGTTTCTCCTGACTCTGATTCCTTTTTAAGATTTAAATACATTTATGAGCAGTTTTATTCTACAGAAGAACATTTTAAGGACGAATCAGACGACCGACCCCGGCTAGCGGTTTGCTAAAGCTAGCGTTTTTGTTGCTAGTTCTTTATTAGCTTCTGTTATTTAATTCGTCGCTTATTTTTGACACGGATTATAATTAATGTAAATATATTTCTGTTGTAAAATAAACGACAACTGTTATTTTTTCCCATATTTAACAAATAGATGACACAGCATCATTCCAAAGTTGGCTCTAGTTAGCACTCTAGTAGCATGACTTACTTAAACATCTGCTTGTTTGTTTTGTACAAACTTGATTAACACGATTTTTTCTGACAGTTTGCAGGATAATAAATTTAAGGGGTCAACCCACAATGTCCAGTGTAAGTAATGAACACTCTTGAGAGGAAAACAAACTTTTGAATAATTCTAGTTTGTGTTTAGTTAGAGATGATCTCAGATGTGCAGATAGGATCAAAATCACGTGATTTATCACATTTGTCTGTTATAAAAGCGAGAATAATACAAACAGCATCTTGTTTTAATTTAAGTTGGTTTAGAATAATGTTAGCCATCGTGATCCTGTGTTATGTTTCTCAGACTGATTCCATTTGAACAAAATCATTAATAGAGTTCTGTTCTGTTGTAGGTGATGTGTGGTCGCAGCAGGCTGATCCTGTCTCGAGCTGCTAGTTGTCAAAACTTTGCTTCTCTCAGGGCTGCGAGATGCAGAACATTTTCAGCTGCGAGCTCAGATGGGCCTTACATCACTGTGTCACACGCAGACTCTGGTGAGTGCAAACAGGGAGACGTGTAGGAGATGGAAAACAGAGAAGAACTTGACATAAAGATCTTTCATTGGACTGCAGGTCCGAGGACCGTGTGGCCAGATGAAAGCATGGGACCGTTCGGGCCTCAAGACCAGCGCTTTCAGTTGCCGGGTAACGTTGGGTTTGACTGCCACCTTGAAGGCATGGGGAACCAGAGGAAGGCTCCAGTCCACAAGACGGTACCTGATGTACTGTCGACTCCGAGCAGCACAGAGAGGCAACAGTTCGTTCTGGCCCAGTTCGTCAACGAGTTCCATGTACGTGTTCCAGTCATCACTCACCTCACTGACTATCGGAACGTGTGAAACATAAAGAAAAGCAGACATGGTCTTCATAATTAGCTCCGACTGTAATCAAAAGCTTATAGTTGTAACCATTTTAGTTTTGGCTACATTTAGCTAACAGTTCACTCCAGAGGTGAGTCACTGATGAAAACTTCCAGAAAGGTTAATCATAAACATTTAGATGATTTTAACATCTAAAGACCAGGGTCGATGGGCTAACGGCTAGTCTGAACGCACCCAAGTGCTGATCTTTTCTAAACTTTGGCACCACATCACTCTGGGAGTTACGCAGAAATATGAAATGATGTTTTGGTCTTTGCTGCACTCGGACTAGCCATTAGCTCATTAACCTCGTCAGATGGAAACTCTTTCTCCGTACTTAGGCTGTTCAGGAAGTTACTTTTATTTATAGATCTTCAACATATCGGCCATTTGTACGGCTAATTAGATGAAAGTTGGCCAGGATTCGTTACAATAAGCTAAATGATAGATTTCTCATTATCAGTGTTGGGAGTAATGCAGTACAAAAGTAATTAATTACTGTAATGCATTGCTTTTTGCTGTAATGTAAGGCATTACAGGGAAAGAAAATGGTAATATTTACTTGGTACAATTGTCAGTAACGCTGTAATTACAATGTATTTTTAAACCCTGAAAAAAGATCCAGTATCCACATATATGACGTCATTTATGGACTCAGCTTTGCGGGCATTCTATGACCAGAGAGGACGCAGCGGTAGTGGCTCAAATACTCCAGTTGCGTCCTGCGCGCGGCCGCTGTTATATTCACAAAATCGCTCCACCAAAACAAAGTCATTCGTTTGCGATCGTTTATATCAGCCCATATTCTCTGGTACTTCATGTACTTTTCAGCTGAGTTCATAATCTGTGCGCCGGTGATTTCAACTCATTGCTGCTGGAGCGCAGCGCATATTAAGCTTTTTATTTTTTGTGTTCGGTAGATCCCTTTGGCTGATAGTTAGAAAGTAGGAAATCTAGGAAACAGTTTTTCTGGAAGACGAAGAAAACATGCAGCAAGCAGGAAGGTCAGAGAGAGAAAGGGCCGGAAATTATTCACATAAAATCAAGAAAACAAAACAAAGTGCTTGAAAAGAAAAAAGTAGGTAGATTTATCCCCAATACACATTTTTACCAGTGAAAAGCAATAATATATAAGCATTTAATATTTATACATGTGATAGAATCAGATCACCCCAGAAGTCAGTCCCACATCCAGGGCCGTATCGAGGCATTTGGGGACCAAGGCAAATATAGGCTCGGAGCCCCCACCACCTCACTCCCTGCTCAGTTAATCTAAGATGGCAGCGTGCTGAGAGTACAGATTGTTGTTGCTTTTATTTAATAAACAATCATTTTAAAGCACTGTTATTATATCTGACTGTTTTAACAGCAATCCTAGCTCAGACACCACATCACCTTCCACATATATGTCATGAGCTCACTGAGCGTCACATGACCAGATTCATGTTGAAGTTGTTCTGGTGAAAGTAACTTAAAGTAATGCAAAAGTAGTGTAATGCCTTACATTTTAAAATCAGTGATATTGTAATGAATTACTTTAAAATGAGGGTAACAAGTAATAAATAATGCATTACAGTTTTGAAGTAACTTGCCCAACACTGCTCATTATTATGTTTGTAATGTTAACTCTTTAGTGCGGCGTCTAAAACATGAGGTTAACTGCTCGTATGAAGTCGATCCCTTTGACTCAAATCATTAACCTATTCTGGCATAATTGTTTTTCTATTTTTTATATTTAAGGAAACAAAATAAATGTAGGTTTTTTTAACATCCAATAATAAAGAGGGTCTCTGTTTAAAAAAAATGGTTTAAATGCATTAAAATGTTTAAAAAATTGAATTTCTGTGATTAGATCTAAAGATGTGATGCTGTGAAATGTAGCACGCTCCTCGTAGACACACTTAACTTTCATCAAATCTAAGAAAATACTGTTACGTGTTTATTCTGAGGAGACTCTGGGCTAGGGTCAGCCATCTTTCAGACCAGTTGTTTGTCTTCACAGGGGAAACTGGGTCCTTTGTCCACCAGAGTCCACAGAGCTGAGCAGTACTTTAACCCCACAGACACAGACTGTTCCATTAGTTCCTGCCCAGAGCTGATCCGCAAAGGTGAGACAGAATTACCCAGAATGCCTCCTCAGAGCACGAGTCCAGGCCTGAACGTGACTTTTCTGGTTAGAACTGGAGCAGATGTTCCCCTCGGCGCCGGCTGCCTCCATCACAGTGGTGACGGTCACGCAGAGGTCCACTCGGTTAGAGAACCAGGACGAAGACCTGCTGCTTCACAAAGTGAGTCCTCTAACTGTTTAGATCAGATTTAAGGAGGTCCGGTTCTGACTGGTTTCACCCTGCTGTAGTTTGTGAGCGGCGCTAAGGAGATGTGTTTCGCTCTGTGGACGGCCGGCTACTGGGCAGACTTCATCGACCCGGCAACAGGAGCCGCGGTGAGTTCCCTCAGGAAGCTTTGGCAGTAACCTGGTGCTGTGGACCTGAGATCTAAATGTTTCCCACAGTTCTTCGCGTCTCCGCTGAGTCCTGCTACGCTGCAACCCGACGTGCCGCTCACACATCTGGGCTTTCACATCGAGGTGTCGGGCTCCTGCACCGTCATCCGTCACGTCCTCAGAGGAACGTCTCTGTTCGTGGGGACCGTTTTCACCAACGCACCCACCAACAGCGCTGCCATCACCAGACTACAGGGACAGGCGAACGCTCTCGAGGAGGAGTGAACTCATCTATGAGCTCTGGAACAAAAAGCCTCTGACTGTGTGAAGCTGAGTGGTTCTGAAGGTTCTACTGAGACCACACGTCTCCACTTTTTTATTTAACCCTGCTCTACGTCCAGAGAGAATCACACTCGCGTCACTTTGTAGAAAGTGTTGATATTTATTAAATGAAGCCTCTTTGGTCGTTTGGGCTGGTTTTAAATGAGCCACGTTCAGAACATCCTCCGCTGGAAAATCAAATCTAAACACTTTCATAGAATATCTTTTGATCTTTTTTTCAAATTTGTTGCACTGAGTTTACCTCAAGGTGCCGATGACCCAGATCAGAGCGAAGACCAGAAGTTCTGCTCACAGAAAGCAAACGGACCCTTTTCCTGTTGGCGTCACCGCGTCCTCCACAGCTCTAAACAAGACTTCATAAAAACAATTCTAGTTTGTTCTTCTATTGGGAATTTTTCATGAAGCTTTAAAACAGTAATTTAGGTTTTTTTCACTATTGAGTCCAGAAGGTTCAGTGAAATGCAAAAGCCATAAAAAAATAACCTCCAGTTGAATTATTGATATGTTCTTTATTTCTAAAGCGATACTTCCCAGAATTTGGATGGACTGTCTGACATCTTAAGCCTTAAAACGTCTAATAAACATTTGGGAGCCACCGATCTGAGGGGAAATGCTTTAACTGATGTGCAGTGAATCTGAACGGCTGCTAGATGGCCACAAAATCAACATTTTTTTCAGAGAGGCCCAGGATTTGGAGCTGCTGATCCTCTCCTGGCAGTCAGTGTAACCACTGGACACATACACATGATTGGGTTCATTGTACAAAATTTTAGTAAAAACAAATAACTTCAATGTTTTACAATTCAAATATGAATAAATTATCAAATACAATTATCAAAAAATCTTGCTTGCTGAAGGAGACGACTTGATGGATTTATGGCGACAGCTCAGATGCTACATGTAGCAGTTATAGTACAAAACAGGAAGTACAGATATGGAGTGGGACAAAGTCAGCCAGCCACCAATTGTGCAGGTTACCCCACTTAAAAAGATGAGAGGCTTATAACTGTCATCATAGGTATACCTCAACTAGTCTATGAGACAAAAAAATCCAGAAAACCACATTGTCTGATTTTTTTTAAGGAATTCATTCGCAAATTATGATGCAAAATAAGTATTTGGTCAATAACAACGAGCGATACAGACCTGTATCTTCTTCAGTAAGAGGCTCCTCTGTCCTCCACTTTAATGGCACCTATCAGTATAAAAGACACCTGTCCACAACCTCAGTCAAACTCCAAACTCCACTATGGCCAAGACCAAAGAGCTGTCAAAACACACCAGAAACAAAACTAGACCTGCACCAGGCTGGGATGAATGAATCTGCTGTAGGTAAGAAGCTTAGTGTGAAGAAATCAACAGTGGGAGCAAATATTAGAAAGTGGAAGAGATACAAGATCTCGTTATGATCTCCCCATTGATCAGGGGCTACACGCAAGATCTCACCCCGTGGGGTCAACATGATCACAAGACCAGTGAGCAAAAATCCCAGAACTACACGACCCTGCCAGGGACTCAAATCCTGCAGTGCCAGACGTGTCCCCCTGCCTAGGCCAGTACACGTGCAGCTTGATAGAGCGCATTTGGATGATCCAGAAGAGGATCAGGAGAATGTCATATGTTCAGATGAAACCAGAACAGAACTTTTTGGTAAAAACTGTACTTGTCATGTTTGGAGGAGAAAGAATGCTGAGTTGCACCTAAAGAACATCATACCTACTGTAAAGCACGGGGGTGGAAACATCAGGCTTTGGGGCTGTTTTTCTGCAAAGGGACCTAGATGGCTGATCCTTGTAAAGGAACGAATGAATGGGGCCATGTATTGTCAGATTTTAAGTGAAAACCTTCAGTCAGCAAGGGCATTGAATATGAAACGTGGCTGGGTCTTTCAGCATGACGGTTATCTCAAACACATCACCCGGGTAACGAAGAAGAGCTTCGTAAGAAGCATTTCAAGGTCCTGGACTGGCCCAGCCAGTTTCCACATTTCAACCCCATAGAAAGTCTGGAGGGAGTTGAAAGTTCGTGTTGCCCAGCGACCGCTCCAAAACATCGCCACTCAAGGAGGAATGGGCCAAAATACCAGCTACAGTGTGACAGTTATGTTAAGACTATTGCTACTAAAGAGTATGGACTTTAATTACTAACCAATAGGGATGTGTATTGGTGAAAATATGGCGATACGATACATATCACGATACAGGGGAGACGATACGCGATACATTCAGTCAGACGATATTAGCGAATTTTTTAGACTGAATTTGGGCTGCACAATTTATCGTAAATATATCGTTATCGCGATATCAGCATGCACAATATCCATATCGCAAAGAACAAAAATTGCGATGAATGGTCAGCACAAATGTTTGCTACATATAATGCATTCTGTCAATCAGATGGAAGCATTTTGCCTTTTTTAACATCAAACAGAGCTCTTCAACCATTTAGCCAATTGGGTGGGTTCTCATAGGTCAGATGCCCGCCCCCGAGGCAGACGGCACTTAATTTTGATGGTTAGCAAACACCTGAGTTAGCTTTGTTCTGCTCTTTCTGCTGATTCTGCTTTTCCTGGGATCCACTGATTACCTTTTCTTGTTCATTTTCTTTTTCCCTTTCCTCACATCTTTAGCTTTTCTCATTTTTATGATTATTTTCTTCTTTGTTTTTGATCATTTTTGTTCCTGAGTAAAGTTTTTCTTTATCGCAAGTAATATCGTCATCGCAATAGTAGTCATTATCGAAAATCGCAGGTTTTCCTAATATCGTGCAGCTCTAGACTGAATTTATTGTAGGAAAATTCAGTAAACAGTCCAAACTGATACTTAACATGTTCAACATGAGGTATCTGAACCATAAGAGGGATTTACATTTCAGTGGTGGAAACAAAACTCACGGCACACTGCTGCCAACTAGCGGTCGGCATTTGAATTGCACCAAAAGAAAAGAAAAAACACACGTTTGCATGGAAATTCTTCCAAGAATTAAATACAAGGCTTTTGACTATCGATACATCGCAGGAACAAATATCTTGATATATTGCAATATCAGTATTTTCGATACACGGTTTTTGAATATCAATATCGTTGAAAAAATATATGTTGCCACATTGATATTTTCTTAAATCCCTATTAAGCAAATACCTATTTTCCACCATAATTTGCAAATAAATTTTTTTAAAATCAAGACAACGTGAGGCATTCCTTCCAGCCATAATCACGATGGTAGGGAGAAAGCCTTTGAAGTGCAACATATTTCCCCGCCTCTAGGTGGTGCCCTCTGACATAAAAATTCCAGATTTCTGCTTTAAAGAAACCCTATAATGGTCATTTGAAACCATCGCTTGAAACTGACCAACATAATGATCAGTAATTCAGTGACATCATCAGACTTCCTCTCAGTTGCACCCAGCTGTGTAGCTGCTACTGATGATGAAATAAAGCAGCACAAAAGGGCGGAGCCTCCTGTCTGAGCTGACCAGAGGAGAGGTGGAGGAGAAGACGGCGCTGCTGTCATTTCTTGGCACCAGAATGTTGCAGATGTTCCCCTCGCAGCAGGACGTGCACACCTGAGAGCAGAATCCAGACTTAGGTGGAGGAACGATGGACATCTTCACAGCTGGATCAAGTTCTACCTGAAAACCGTTGTGAGAGATGTTAACGCAGCCGGTGAAGCGACAGCTCTCCAGCGTGGCGCAGCGTTTGGTTACAGAGACGCTGTCTCCACTGTGGTCCATCATGTGGAGCGTGTAGCAGTATCTGGTGTCTAAAGAGAAGACAATTGAAAAACAACCATTGATTTGGTGTTATGGAAAAATTTGTGTTTATTAATTCTTGATCATGGACTCAATCAACTGAATGTAATATGTATTGCTCTATGCTTCTGCATGCACACTAGCTGTAGCGAAGTCTCGATGACGTCGACGGCTCGATTCTAAAAATTTGTCGACCTCAGATCCGATAGTCGACGCACCGCGCCCACTTGTTGCATCCCCAGGAGTTTGTAAATAGAGGTGGAATCTGCCTGTTTTTCGTCTAGTTCGCCCTCTTCTCCGCCTTCACTAACATCTCCGCCAAATACCGAAGACCCGGAACAACGTCCGTCCGCTACTAGATTCCTTTCCTGTTTTGCCCGCTTTCATTTCCCGGCAACGGACAACAACTTCCGGGGTCAGATGCGCTGCTTCGTCTACCGCAGATGTAGAAAATCAGCGGGAGCGCTTCTCCCTTCATAAAGGAGCTTCTTTCAGACATTAGGAGAGCTGTTTTGGTGCTAGCAGTCTCTCCTCCGTGCTGGTCTGTTTGCTGCTGGGTGTTTTTGGTTTATTTAAACTTGGTAACTTGAACTTAACATCGGTAAAGCTACTGTTAGCATTTTCGCTAACAGCTTCTTGCGTTTGGATAAGCTGTTACGTTTTGGTTTAGAGTTTATCGTTTTTGTGGCGTAGATCTCCCTTTTATTACATTTAGAGTGTTGTGGGTTTCGGTTTAGTTTAAAATATCACCTTGAGTTTGGTTTAACCATCCAGTTTAGAGTTTGGACCTTTGGAGATCCTTATTTTGGTCCAGAACCCAGTAATCTTTGCCCAGTGGGACATCCCTACTTATTTGTACTTTTGTTTTAATTCCCCACAGGCAGAATTAGTTTTATTATTCCCAACCTGTGGATGGAAAGATTTATGTTTGTTGTTGTTGTAAATAAACCTGATCATCATTTTAACTTTTAAATCCCGTTATTGTCCCTTCCTTGTTGTACACGAGCCAAACTCCCCAGGAAGAGTGGTAACACCACTCGCCTCACGCACATAAGTGACCAAAACAAAGCAGCATGGAGACACTCCATCTCCAACCACCTCTCAGGCAGCAGCCTGCTCTCCCAAGTTCTACACGTCACCAGAACATAAACAACCAACACAATAAAAGCAGTGTTGTACAAAATGGAAGGCCTGTAGTGTTTATTCTCTTACAGCAACAATTTATCAATTTTTTTGAGAATTTATTAGAGATTTTTTGGTTTTTATTAATTGTGCAATAGAAAAAAATAAACACTAGATTGTCTCAATAGTCATTAGAATAGTCGACTATTCGATAAAATAATCATCAGAATAATTATTTTTAAAATAATCATTTACCCCCCCCCCCCCCCTCTCTCTCTCTCTCTCTCTCTCTCTCTCTCTCTCTCTCTATATATATATATAAACTCTGTGAACAGATGTTCGGGGCATTTTGCCTCGTGCATTATGCCACAGTTATAACTGTTTGACTTGTCTGCTTATTGTCTCCTTTTCTCTTCACTAAAGGAAATGGGTTATTGATAAACTTATTGATAAAATCCATGACATGATCCTATGTCTGGAAGTAAATTTACCGTTAAGGCAGTAAATATCCGGCGCCCAGCGGTTGCACTCGTAGTTATCAGCAGCATCTTGGCATGTGAAGCACTTGAATCCACCCGGATGAGGCGTGGCTGTGGAAGACAGACGGTGTTCATGTCGGCCGACTTGTTCTTCTAAACCTTTAATAAATCAGAGCGGTGAGCTTAAAGCAAAGGATTTGCTACTGATGTCTTAATAAGTGTGGTGTAAGTACAACATAAACATGGAGGGAACTAGAGGTCGACCACTATTGGTTTTTCTATTGCTGCTGCCGATACATCGGTCTACCCCTAGAGGGAATAAAATGATATGTGCTGAAATATATGTGATGCGTGTGTTCAGTGGTAAGTAAAGAAACAAGGGTTGGAAAAATTGACATTTGAGGTTCCTTAGTTTGAGACATTTTTGTTCTTTACGTGTCCCTGCTCCAGTTAGCTGTTAGCTTAGTTAGCTAGCTAGTCACTCCTTTTCCAATTAAAAGTGCACTGACTTTTTTTTCTTCTACAGAAAAACAATGAAGCAAAAACCTGTGATGGTAAAAAAAAAAAAAAAGCTTTTTTGTGCCTTACAAATTTTTTTCACCTATAGGAGTAGCAGGGAATTTCAGAGAGCCTTTGTGTCGGGGGGGGGGGGGGGGGGGGGATGAGATAACGACCTCTCAGCCAATGATAGAAAAATAAAATAAAACGAAGCCATGCTTTTACTTGAAGGATGCAGATGAATGATGTCTTTGATGGTGAAGTCTCGTGACCGAACAGTTTTTAACCGACTGAAGACGATCATCAGAATCAGGATCCGGGCCGCTGTCGGCCGGGCCTCCATCATTCAGCCAGAGTGTCCTCATCCACCCGAAGGGCTGCCGGTACCCTGAAAGAGAGTTACTGTTACTAAATGCTAACTCGCTAACACGCTAACAAAGTTTACTGAGCAACAGCTATGCTGATAAAAACAAGAAGCTTTGTGAGGCTCCTCATAGAAACAATTAGTCTATAAAGGAGATCAACATGGTGCTGCTCATGCTGGGAGCTCGCTTCATTAGCTAAATGTCACAGGAACCCCAGGAATTAGCTGCAACACTCATAGTACCTTTACTGACAAAACTTCCCTTTATTCCGATAGATGAGCTTCACTTGATCAGCTTGTTTTGTTTGATGAGTTTTATCTGAGATTTTTAAACGAGGTTCATGTTTTCCACCATTTTTCAAATTTGTCTCAATTCATTCATGAGTCTTTGCACCATTCAAGACCCTCAATGACATCTTGGCTTTTGGCATTAGTCGAGGAGGACTCTCAACTAATAAAGATCTCCAAGAATCCACTGAGACGTCAATCACTGAATTAGACACCAGATGACCTGTTTTTTCCCCCTTTTACAGAGATTGCTGTAAGACGAGCTCTGGCCTCAGATGCCTCTCTGACACCATCTTTTATCCCCAGGCTCTTTGCCAGCCTGTATGGTTGTAAATGCTTGTTTTCTTAGCATTACACACGCTCCAGTAAAACCGACCCATGTCCATGCTGCACACGGAATACTGCACCAAACTGCTGCTAGAGCTCTTTATTTCATTATTAGTCATGGCACCAGAATTAAGTCTGTTTCTGGAACTTAGAGTCATAAAAATATATTTTTTATTAAAATTACTATTATTATTGGCACCCATCAGCTGTGGTTCCTAGGTTTTCCACCAGGGGGCAGAGGACGTTCATTGTTGAATTTTTTTGTTTAAAGGGGCATTATGGAAGTTTGACAGCCAAATCATGTATAGAAATAATAAATGTCTTCTTCATACATTCTCCTGCAATGCCCTGGTCCTGTAGAATGAGCCCTGGCATTTTTACTGTGATTGCCTGTTTTTCTGTAAAACCACAGAAAAAGAGAGATGCTCGGGTCGAGCAGGCTGCTTCATGCGCGTTCACGCTCAGGCATAGCCCGTAGCATTTGCTATCCGTAGCTTTAGCAGCAGAGAGAGAGGTAGTGCCAACTCAGCGACTTTGTCGCTGTTCCTAACGCCTAGTGACAAAGCTAGCTACATTTCTGAGGAGCCTTAGCTACTTTCTGTAGAACTTTCTTCTAGATATTTCCTGCAAATTAGCAACAAAATAGCCATTTTCGCTCCGAACCGTTCTTTGATCGTTGTTTCAGCTGTCATCAAGGATAAAAAAGTTACAGATACTGTGAATGTTACTAGAGTGTAGCTCACCTTGTAAGATGTCTGACTCCCATGCAGAAGACCTGGGTTTGATTCTGGATGTGAACATAGTTCATTTAGATTTTCTTTTTTACATTGATGGTATATTATTTTTACAGTAAGATGCCCAAATTTTTATTTGAGACTCGCCGAACGGCATTGAATTCACAGATAAAAAAGATGTGGGTTCAACTTTCATTTTGGAACAATTTTTCAAGCAAGGGAAGGGAATGATCTGAGCATGCAGGAGGACTGACCCATCATAAACCTTTGTCGGCTGTGCTGAAGAGAAAGGTACAGAACCAAATTATTTAATTAATTAGCTGCGTGTTCTCCTGTCCTCCGGGCCACACACACACACACACACACACACACACACACAGGACTGTCTCAGCTGTTATTTTCATTAAAGAGTGTGCACGTACAGCATGCGTGCCTCTTGCACGAGCCTACTATTGAAGCTGCCGTTACACTTTTGGTCTGAGGGGGCAATCGCGAGCATAAAAATTCAAAAGTCCGTAAAGTCCCTTTAAAGAAGGAACATACTAATCTTGATAAAGAGGTAGAGCTCTCAGAAACAAGTGCTTCAATTATGATTTATTTGGCATTATTTGATTAAGTTTTCTTACTACTCCCATGTATTTTCCCAGCACATAACAATCCCAAACCTGGGCTAGTTTAAACTTCACTGGTTAAGTTCACCGCTGGAAGCCAGGATTAATTAGATGATTATTAGAACGGCTTCAGAAGTGTTTCCATTTAAGCCTCAAGCTCCTCGGGGCTCAGCGTTACTGTAGAGCTCATAATGAGATGCTTCCCCACTGAAAGGAAAACCTTGATTAGCTCTTTGAGAAGGCCAGGTCCTCGTCTGCTGTGAAATCTGGTTTCAGTTGGGTTGGACGAGGAAGAAGATCGTGAAGCGGGACCAATGAGTGAAGAGGTTTTCAGCCGAAACTACTTCAGCTTCCAGTTGAATGAATGCACGCAGGATTAAATATTCCCAGAAAGTTAGCAGACTAGGAAAAACAGTCAACAAGGATCAATGTAATGTTTGATCTTTTAATAATAAAAAAGAAATAATTTACATAACAATAACAGGTATGTGCATGTTTTTCTTCACTTTGATGGAAAAGAAGCCGCATCCTGACTAAAAATAAAAGATAGAAAAAATAAAGTATTAAATCATGTCCTAACATGATGGTTTTTGATGTGAAATATGTTATTTTTCTTTAGTTTAATTTTATTTATTTCAAATGTATTTTATTAATATTTGTTTTCTTTATTAGAATTTCAAATTTTATACATATTGTTGAAAATAAAGCAGCAGTATTAGTCAGCATAATAAATACATTTAACTCATTCACTGCCAATGACGACTAAAGTCGACTAAAGTTGTCATTTGCATTTTTTTACTGTGTTGGCGTCGGACGAGCCCCCGCACCGTGAGAACAAACATCCCAGCTCTAAAGCCGATCTTCATCCACGAACGCCACACGTCACGTGATCAGGAAGCAGAAAATCCATGTGTTAGGAGATCGTTTTGGGCCGCTGCTGTAAAAAAAGTGAGGCGCGAACCGGAAAGGCTTCTGCCGATCACAATTCAACAACGGATTATACGGCTGCTCGATTATGGCAAAAATGACAATCACGATTATTGTGACTGAAATTGAGTTCTTGATTATTTAAGATGATTTTTCAATTAATGTTGATTTTATTTGTTTGTTTATTTATTCAGCCATAAAATTGCTCAGGGCACAATCAGGGCAAAAAGAAAAAGAAAGCAACAAGATGATGACAAAAACAACTCCCGGTATAAAAAGGCCAAGACACTTGCTCATAGTTTATGACCCAAAGGGCTGAGGTTTAACTCATTTAAGCCTAACCAATACAGACCCAAATACCCAACCAATATCTTGCAAATACTGAATTGTACTGTGGCATTCATAACATAAATAAAAAACATATAAACATATGTGTTTTAGTGACGGTCACAAAATGTTGCATAATATTTATTTAGTCCTGTCAAGCGGTGCTGTATGAGTGTGTACACTAGCAACGTGTCCTCAGAGAGGTTCATTCATATTTATCGGCCTGAGAAACTTATTTCTATCTATTTCTAAACTATTTATTTACAGGTCCCATCATTTAATGTAATAGTTGTCCCTACCACAGCAATCGGAGAGGTGCAGCCCCCCCCCCACACACACACACCCAACTCAGTCTCACAGCAAACAAGGGCAAGCTGCGCGTGTGTGTTTAGCGCACCACACGTGCACATTATGCCGTTTTTAGCGGCTCAGGAGCCTGCAGGTACGGTGTGTGTCACTCACTCAGGGGCGCCGTAACGCGGTGAAAGATTAGGAAGATCCTAAGGGCCCACAGCTGTCAGGGGCCCAAAAATGTTTCAAAGTTGAATTAAAAAAAAATTTAAGTTTAAAAATCACAAGTTCTTTACTTTGCAGTATTTTTTCTCATTTAAGACATTAAACAAAAATCTTTTAGTCTTTATGAAATGTATATTTATTCAGAGGACCTTACTTTATTTTGACTAATTAATTTGAACCTCTTCATCTACTAAATACCTTGAAATGAAATGTTTTGAATCTGACTGAATTATCGGAGGTTTTACAAGATGTAATTTGTTTATGTAGCTTTTAGAACACAAACCAAAAATCAGTCATTTCCAAATAATTCATCAGAGAGCAAAACTGAAACAAAAGCTATTAATAATTGTAATAAATAAACTTAATATAACATTGAACACAATCAAATATGAAATCTAGTATTGATCGTTATCGAGCATTCTTAATTATATCACTGTAAATAATAAATCTTGCTGTGTACAATCAAGGCTGAATATATTTTTAGCTGTTTTGTTGTTGTTGAGAAAAATGGGTTTCTAGAGACTTTTATACATATTCATGCAAAGTTGTCCAACTTAAAAATTTTATGTAACCCTAACTGACTCCGTTTTGAACTGTGTGCTTATTCATTTTGTGTCTATGATGAAGCCGTGGAGACTTAATAAAGAAGTCACCTTGTGAGCAGTGAATCCTTAATTTTTGTCAGTCATACAGAAATACTTGATTTCAAGAGGAAAGACGGCTGAAAATGTAGTTATGTAAAGCTTTGACACAACATGGAAATTTAATAAGATATCCAAATTTGAATTTTATCATCAAATAAATTTTTAGAATAAATAAACACATTTTAAGGGAGTAAAAGGGAAAAGGAGATTAACGCTTTTCAGCATGTGCATTTCCTGCTTTTTCCAGCAGTGATATTGCTAATTCTGTTGAAGGAAATTCACTGTTTAATGAGAGACAGCTGGTAAAAATGATATGTAAATAAGTAAGAATGCATGTAGACCTACATAATTAAACAAAACTGAAACACTAATATAAAGTATATATATTATATTTTTTCTCCCTTCGATTCTGGGAGGGTGGAACCCCAGCTCCAGCAATGGACGAGCCCCCAGGGGGCCCAACTTGATATTTTTTCATGGGGCCCAAAATCTCTGGCAGCCCCCCTGCACTCACTCCGGTTAATCCTAGAGGACGCCGGCTCTGAAAGCTTTTTTTTTTTTTTGCGACCAACACATCACCACATCATTCCCTTTCCTAATGTCCAGAAAGACGGTCCGGAGCGCAGGCGGAGTGTTTTGCTAACCTGCAGGAAATGTCGACGACAGTTTCCCAGAAAGTAGCTATGGGTTACCAGAGATGCTTCTACATTGTTTGCTAGATACTTTTAGAATTTAAAAAGTCAATAAGGGGGTCTGAAAAGATGTTAGAAATGGCAACTAATTTGCTAAATTGGCAACAATGTGGGAGGAGCGCTTGATTTGCAACTTGGAGCAGCTCAAGAGGGGGGAGAAAATAATCGGCTCGTTTTGTTTTCGTAATCGTTCGAAACTCAGATCGTAATTGGGATTAAAATTTGATTAATTGAGCAGCCCTAACGAATTATGAAAGAACGGATAACGCTCGAAACGCGCAGATTCTTCCTGATGTAAGAGGTGAGTCTCCGCTTTGTTTTGGTTGTTTTGGCATCAACATCATCCTAGCACACAACGTTCTGTGACTCTTAAAAAAGCAGTAAAAACGATGAGAAACGCTGACAGCGAATGGCTTTACCGATCAGGAAACGGCTGGCAGCGAATGAGTTAATAAGTGTTCACATCATAATGAATATCATTGATACATACTGTGACTCAATTCTCTCACAAGAGCAGCCCCTCGAGGCTGGATAGAGAATTACGGTTAAGCCCCGCCCCCTCTTTGTTACAAATAGGACTTTATATGGCTCAACACTTCAGAGTTTTTTCTCCAAAAATGTATTTCTATTCAGTCACATTTCTCTTACCTTTTTAATTTACTTTTCTTATTTGTTTAGTTTTAAATATTTATACGATGCTTTAAAAACCACAATTTAGGTTCTACTTTGCTTTTCCGTCACTCCACACGTCGATGGCTCCGATAAGATGGCAGATTTTATTTTTAAAAAAGGGACAATATTACCTTCTAATGTGAAAAATGTCGCATTCAATTTAACTATTAACAACACTGTATTATTGCATTCTTCCTCTCTAGTGACCTCTAGTGGATGGTCTAAGTACTACATGTGCTAAGTACCATTTTTATTCCATTAAAAAAAACTTTGCATTAATTGTAAATACTATTATTTTATGGATCCCACTTAAAATAGTTAAACAAAATTAATAACCATGTAATCTACGTTTAATTTAAAGTAACCTCAAAAGCACACACACACACACACACACACACACCAGTTTTTAACAAAGCTGACACGGACTCAAATGTCAAACACGAGTGAACAAATTCTTCCGATGAGGGCTAACAGCTGTCTGTCGTGTCAGAAGTAAACCAAATCAGAACCCAGACCACCAGGACTGCCTTTGATGTTCTGCAGCTTGGCTCTGCAGACCAGACACACATGGCACGGTCTTAACACGGGTCATACTGCTGCTTTTGTTCCGCTTTCTCAACTCAGGTCACAGTTACATTACTGCTCAGGAAGAGGGATATATACTGGCAGAATTTTTGTTTTCTCCTGTAAACGGCACACACTGGCTTTGGTTTCCCAGGCTGCTACGCGTTGGCTTACTGGATCATTTTATAAGACTTTTACAAGGGTCCTGACTGAGCTCCAGTAAAACGTCTCACATCTTAAAAACACGACTGAATGCCTGAAAAAAGAGCCTTCCAGTGACTGAATCACGTGCTGTTTCGGTAAACTCGACTCTAATAAATTCCTTCCTGTTAAATTATTCAAAAACTGCAAAAGGATTTAATTAATTCAAGTTTTTGTTCAAGAAAAATACTTATATTCTGTGCGTGTTCCTAAACTAATGTTACTTTAGATTTGAAAAATAAATAACTTAATTTTTTGTTTCATGTTTAACAGTGTACATGTATTTTTTTCTATATAAAGGTAGACTTAAACCCTTAAATAGTGTTGAATTAAGTTTTGTTTAAATAAACGGTTACAAATTTCTGAAAGAAATGTATTTTTTAAAGTTTATATGGGATTTTATATCAATTCTACATTTAATTGGCCACTGGCACATTTTAAACGAGTGCAAACACAGTTTAAATGCGCGACAATTAGCTTTTAAAACTGTTTTAAATCTGTTTAAAACGTTTCTAGACAAACGCGGCCGCCTTGAGCCCGTCTGTGATGAACCTACCTGCCTGTGCTCCTCTGTGCGCCCGCAGAAGACCCAGAGGAGATGAAGCCCGGAGTCCTGCTCAGTCAGGCTCCTGGAGGTGTTCTGGTTAGTTTGGTTCAGGGAGGGGGAAAGGGCTGCTGCGTCATTACGTCATCAGTGCGCCCCCGCAAATGTTTTAATTTCATTATTCTTTCCCCCAAAATTCAAATAATTATACGAAATTTTAATGTAGATATTTATTATTATTATTATTATTATTATTATTATTATTATTACAGGCATTATTAATTTTTATTTTATTTTATAATTGAAAACCAAAAGACTGCTTATGACTGCATGAAACATATAGATATCATAATCCAATGTTTTTAATTGGTCAAATTTAAATTGATTAGATTGATTACATTTTCCAAATATCTTTTAAAAAAGGATGAATGTAGAAAATGATTAATTTAAACGTAGATCAAACAAAATGACCTCTTAATTTGTATTCACTTGAAGGTGACTATTATTTAGCTTAAAATGATGTATTAATGTAAAACTTTACTCTTGTCTTGACTTAAGACATTTAAGCTAATATAAGATAGCCTAAAGTAACATAAAATAAAGGTACAATATGTAAGATGTGGGCTCCACTGGGCGAAGCGTAGCGGGGAACGAGGAGTTGGTGGCGTTCCACACGCGGAGGGGGACTGGCTGGAGATGAAGGAAGGCAGGATCAGGTCAGAGGACTAGTTGAGATGAAGCATGAATTGATTAGTTAAAGGGACTTTACTGAGTTTTGAATTTTTATGCTCGCGATTGTCCCCTCAGGCCAAAAGCGTAACGGCAGCTTCAACAATAGGCTCGTGCACGAGGCGAGCATGCTGTACGTGCACACTCCTTAACGAAAATAACAGCTGAGACAGTCCCTTGTGTGTGTGTGTGTGTGTGTGTGTGTGTGTGTGTGTGTGTGTGTGTGTGTGTGTGTGTGTGTGTGTGTGTGTGTGTGTGTGTGTGTTTGTGTGTGTGTGTGTGTGTGTGTGTGTGTGTGTGTGTGTGTGGCCCAGAGGACAGAGGACAGGAGAACACGCAGCTAATTAATTAAATAATTTGGTTCTGTACCTTTCTCTTCAGCACAGCCGACAAAGGTTTATGATGGGTCAGTCCTCCTGCATGCTCAGATCATTCCCTTACCTTGCTTGAAAAATTGTTCCAAAATGAAAGTTGAACTCACATCTTTTTTATCTGTGAATTCAATGCCGTTCGGCGAGTCTCAAATAAAAATTTGGGCATCTTACTGTAAAAAAATATACCATTAATGTAAAAAAGAAACTCTAAATAAACTATGTTCACACCCAGAATCAAACCCAGGTCTTCTGCACGAGAGTCAGACATCTTACAAGGTGAGCTACACTCTAGTAACATTCACAGTATCTGTAACATTTATATCCTTGATGACAGCTGAAACAACGTCAAACCAAAGAACGGTTCGGAGTGAAAATGGCTATTTTGTTGCTAATTTGCAGGAAATATCTAGAAGAAAGTTCTACAGAAAGTAGCTAAGGGTCCTCAGAAATGTAGCTAGCTTTGCCACTAGGCGTTAGGAACAGCGACAAAGTGGCACTGCCTCTCTCTCTGCTGCTAAAGCTACTGATAGCAAATGCTACGACGGGCTATGCCTGAGCTTGAACGCGCATGAAGCAGCCTGCTCGACCCGAGCATCTCTCTTTTTCTGTGATTTTACAGAAAAACAGGCAATCACAGTAAAAATGCCAGGGCTCATTCTACAGGACCATGGCATTGCAGGAGAATGTATGAAGAAGACATTTATTATTTCTATACATGTTTTGGCTGTCAAACTTCCATAACGTCCCTTTAAGAAGAGTAGGTGTGGAGATAGGTTTGCAGGATCTAGAGTCGGGATCAATTGGGAACTGATACATGGAGCATGAATCAGGAGCTCGTGCATGAAGAACACACGATGACTGAGCAATGAGTGGGAGGCTAGTATGGGAGCGAGCGGGAAGCTGTCGTGCTCGGCTGTTGCTGGTTGAGCTTGATGAGGAGGTTCTGACATAAGAATTCTACAGTGAAATAATCACAAAACAGTCTTAACATCTCAATAATGTTGGAAGGAAGTTACATAAAACAGATTTAATTGTCAGTTCTTTGCCTTTTAAAATGGTGTAAGAGGGACGTAGTTACTGTTTACACTCGGCAAGCCTGTGAGGTTGCCAAGTCTGCGCCAGCTGACGCTGCAGTGCCGGCTTTTGTAAATTTGACACCATAAGGCAAAAAGCAGCAGCATTTTGTAAACAGGATCCAGTAGCGGGAGAAACCCAGAAGTTATTTCTTGCACCCCTGAGGCTGGAAATATAGGCGCTGTTTGCCAAAGCATGTGCATGTTTAAAACGGCTGCCTCGCGTAACTTGCGTTGATTTGAAGCATTGTTTGTGCGCGTCCCCCGACATCAACGCAACACATTTGCTGCAATATACGAGTAACCAGTAGGTTGACAAAACGAGCGAGACACACTCACTGTGATGACTCCGCCTCTAGTTTAGAGGTCTTTCATACAATCTACAAAACAACTGTTGTCTTTTTTAATGCAGTGATCTCGAAATAACCAGTTACTGATCTCCTCTATTGGCGCCATGTTTGTTTCGGTTGTACCGATGGTTGTACCCACAAACCCGACGCTCTATATGGTCTGTGTTATCCACTCTGCCTCCTAGTGGAATCCTCCGGTACTACATGCGGTTCAGTGCTGTGCGGCAGCAAGCATGTAAGCAACGACGCGGCCTGCTGCCTCCGCTAATGCTTGGTTAAAATGCAAGTACATTATGGCCACAGCATCTTTTTGGTGAATTAATGGTGAATTAGAAGCATATAGACCCACTGCAGTGAGAAGACATGCCCACACCCCTGCCCCCCAGCCCCAGGCTGGAAGGCAAGAAGGCATCATCTCCCCGTTTACCACCGTTGTGTTTATCTGTTCAGTAAACAGAGCTAAATAGCGGTAAAATAAAATCTACCAGCATGGTTAACGCACGTAGAGCTGTAGGCTGCACAAGTAGACGAAATAAGGTCAGAAAATGTAAAATTTTACAGGTTCCCAGCTGATAAAATACGCGGAAGGTGGCCAATTCTAGTGGAAATCACCCACATCATGGCAGACGAAGTCTCGTGACACAGTAGAAAAGTAAAATATCTTGACATGACTTATATGCTTTTATTACATAATTATATGCGAGTAACTTTTTTGTTTTGAAAATGGGCTGCAGTACTCAAAGTTGACCACTGGATGTCGTTCTTTCTTCATTCTTGAATAATGCACCTTTAAATAAAATACTGTCAATTCCTCCACTCAGAAATTACTTGAATGCACCTTTTTAACTTATTTTGACTGATTTTATGTTGTACTTTTTTTGTATTTGAACACAAATCTAACTTTTCATAACCACACTACTCACTTAGACACTTCTTACTTTGCAATTTCAAAACCTACAATTCTTTGTAATGTGTGTTTCTGTTAAGGAAAGTTAGAAATATAAGGAAGGGCGTATTATTCTTAAGATCAAACAAGAGTCTCTCTGTGGAATAATAAGGATTCACATTATCTGTTGAGGCTAATTAGAAGAAGACACTGCTCGCTTGTTCTCATTCCTCCAGTGAAAGAGTTCTGGCTCAGACTTGGTTCCAGCAGACACCAAGCCAAGCCATCATGTCCAGTTACCATCAGATAAATGAAAAGGAGTGCATGTCTGAAAGGAGCTACACAAGAACTCATCAGTGGCAGGTTTCAGCCCTCTGACCCCACTGGAAATGTGATCTCTCACAGGAAACGCTAGGAAGAAGATAGCACCTGGTCATGTCAGACAGGGGTATTTCAGGAGCATGTGCACGCAGATGTGCTGTAGTATCTGGACAGATGGCCGAGCCACGATGGAGGAAAAGGGTCCCAGCAGCACCTGACAAACATTTACTCAGCTCAAATGACAAAAGAGACAATCAGAAATGCTTTAAATGTTTGGTCCCACTGCCAGCATGCTGATAAAGGAGTGGGTATGTTCCTGGACGGGAGCTACCTTACAGGAAAATAAATCAATTTCAATCAAATAAATGAAACTCAAAGTCAGATTTATGGGAAGAAAATAATAACAATGGTACACAAGATCATAATTATTATGTAAGTGAGATTCAAAGTCAGAATTCACAGCTTTTTAAGTCATAATATTGAAATTCCAAGTTATAATTATGGAATTCAAGTAACAATGCTATGGTATACAAATCATTATTCTTGATTCTGAGTTTTAATTTTCACAATTTTGAGATTTAAAGTTATAATTATCAGATAACTTTGAATGCCATAATCAGGAACTCGGATGTAATCATACAGAGTCATAATTATGAGATTTAAAGCTAGATTTACATGATTCAAAGTCCTAATTCTGAGTTTGAAAGTCAAACATTTGAGATTTAGTCATCAATATTCGACACAAAGTTATGATTATGTGTTTAAATTCACAATTTTCACATTTTAAGTCGCATCATTTTATGTTGCTGACATTTTCAGTGATTTTTTAATGGAGTTATAAAAGCGTCCTCTAGAGGGCAGTAGCTCACATTCACCACGCCTGAAATAAGAACAAAACAAAAAATTGCGCGCGCAACCGTGGCCATCTTTGAAATCTTCTCAGGTCAGGCAGCTATTTAAATCATTTTTATTTTCTAAATTTCATTTATTTGAAGAACCATGGCTAATCGAAATATGCAACAGGCGAGCTCGCTAGGTGCTAATTCTCCTGTGCCGGCGAAACGACGGACCGACTCCCCGGCCTTGGAGCAGCAGTCGCCGGCAAACAAAGACGTCTCAGCCCCGCCGCAGCAGCAGCCCACCCCGGCAGAACAGACCGATTCAGCCGCGGAGGGAGATGGCGAGGGCCCGTCACAAATTACTCTGGACATTGCGAGCTTTCGAAAGCCCGGGGAGAAAACGTTCACCCAGCGGGCCCGGCTATTCGTGGGCTACCTGCCTCAGGATATCACGGAGGAAGAGTTCACAAACATATTCTCTAAATACGGGAATTTTAGCGAGGTGTTCATCAACAGAGAGCGGGGCTTCGGCTTCATCCGCCTGGTACGTAAACATTTCTTCTCGGGCTCTTTCACGTTACAACGTTCTGAAGCTTTTTTTTTTTTTTACAACATCGTGTTTAAGCCAAGTTTATTTTAGCGTGACCCTTAATGAGGGCTTAGTGACGATATTATATATAATTATTAAGTCTTTTACTTACTACATTTGTTGTTTTCTTTATTTTTTTCTTTGTGAATTCAATGTTATTTCACCTTATTCGAAATAAATACATACAAATTAAGATATTTAAACATTATGGTGATCCTATTATTACACTAAATATCATCATTACGTGATGACGTCATTGTTGCCATGTTTAGAATGATATGTGATTCTTCCCCTGACCCTGAAGGAAACCCGGACTCTGGCAGAGATCGCAAAGGTTGAGTTGGACGGGACCATTCTGAAAAACAGACCCATAAAGGTCCGCTTAGCCACACATGGTGGCTCTCTCACAGTCCGTAACCTGTTACCTGTGGTGACGAATGAACTCCTGGAGCAGGTAGCAGCACTTCGCAATGGTTTTAATCTCAAACATCTCTCTTTTTGCCTTGAAATGACAATGTCGTTGTCCTTGCATCCTCAGGCGTTTTCTCAGTTCGGGCCGGTGGATCGAGCCGTTGTCGTGACGGATGACCGTGGACGTCCCACTGGGAGAGGCTTCGTAGAGTTCAGCAACAAAATAGCGGCGCGTGTAGCGCTGGAGCGGTGCACAGAAGGAGCGCTGCTTCTCACCACGTAAGGAGGGAGGGATGAAGGAAGAAGAAATGTAGTAATCAGATTACTTTACTCCAGTCCAGTCATTCTAATCTGGCATTATTCCGTTAGCTTTAGCTTAGCATAAACAATGCAAGTGAATGGTAACAGCTAGCGTTTTTGTGAAAAAGTCATGAAAATAACTTAATAGTGATCCAAATGTTTTGTGGTGAGCTCAATATTCATATCGATTGCAAATGAAAATAAGTGATGCAGAGAAATTGCAGGAGTCGATTTAGACCTGGGACTACATTACGACAAAGCAAACCTGTAAGCTTCTGCCAGGCACAAGGTCATGAGACGCAGCGGCCCCAAAAGGCATCCACTTCTATTAGCACAAACGCATGGCTACTAGGCTCACCCTGGCTCTTCTCTGGCGATATAAGCAGCGAGAGTTTTACACACAAGCTTCCTTCCAACCAGGAGGGTTTCAGATGAGAAACAGCAGCTATAGCATTCCACGCAGCTAGTCGCACAAGGTTGCAAAATCAGAGAATTACAAGACCATGCATGATTTCAGAAGTTCATACAATAACAAGAAAGATCCAATAAGGTTTGTGTATTATGCAGAGGTTTTATGTCTTGTTTTTTTTTTTTACTAGTTAAGAAGCTGGGAGTCTGCATGTGAATTGTATTTTGAATATTTTCAGATGTTTTTGTGTTTGACTTCCTGTTTGGCCCGATCTGAACTGCTGGTCTTGATGCGTTCTGGAAGCGTAACGTGTAAAGACTGGACTCGAAGCGTAAATTTGCTGTCGCTACGCGCCTAGGAAAATGCAACATTTTGCAGCAGGTGGACACGCCTCTATCCACTAAAATGACGGCTAATTGTTGCATCCCACACTTTGCGGACTTTACACAATGCTAGCACGTCCATTAGAAAGGCCCAGTTATACCCGGGGCAGTTTTTTGAAGGAGCGGCATAGTAAGTCGCTCTAAAAATGAAGTATGCACCAAAATGAAAATTCTTGGCCGAAGCCAAAAATGAGGAAACCGACCGTGTATATTAATAGTAATAAATTATACAAAGATAAATATATTATAAATGCTCAGGCTTATAACTGAAACGCCTGCTGAGACTGTAAATGAACCCTTTAGGCACCAAAGTCTCGATATTGCATCATTTCTGGTTTCAACAAGCCACAGCTGCTAAAATAATCCCTCATGAAGTTATTACTTAGAAGAAAGTGAAGATGTTTAACTTCCATCTGAGCAACACTTTTGGGTGTTTTCTCTTGAAATGTTTGGAGTTGATAGAGTTTAAAAACTGCCTCTCGACTGAGGAGCGGAGCCGAGCAGAGCACACATATAATTATGTAGATACGTCCCACAACACGTTTATATATATATATATATATATATATATATATATATATATATATATATATGTGTGTGTGTATATATATATATGTGTAAATATATGTATATATATATATGTGTGTGTATATATATATATATGTGTGTGTATATATATATATATGTGTAAATATATGTGTAAATATATGTATAAATATATACATATATGTGTAAATATATGTATATATATGTATAAATATATATATATATATATGTCTATATGTATATATGTATATATATATATATATATATACACACACACATATACATACATATATATATATATATGTGTGTATATATATATATATATGTGTAAATATATGTATATATATATATGTGTAAATATATGTGTAAATATATGTGTAAATATATGTATAAATATATACATATATGTGTAAATATATGTATATATATGTATAAATATATATATATATGTCTATATGTATATATATATATATACACACACACATATACATACATATATATATATATATATACACACACACACATATATATATATATATACACACACACCGTAATTTCCAGACTATAGAGCGCACCTCAATATAAGCTGCACCGGACTAAAAGCCGCAGATATCTACTGAATTGAAAACGTAGTTTAACTGAACGTAACTGAACTGATCAGTATCAAACAAAACAGAAAAGTTATTGATTAGTTTATTCATCGTGCTCCTGCGCACTGAAACCACTGAAGTCATCTTCTTCAGTGTTGGAGTTGAACAGCCTCAGAAGAGCTTCGTCACACACCTTTTCTGTGGAGATGTCAGTGTCGCTCTCCGTGTTGCTGTCATCATCCCGGGGTGAAGCTGGGAAGACAAGCAGCGCCGTTTTACTGTGAAGAAAATCCTCCTGGGCGCTTTCCGTAGCGCTCCTTTAACCATTCCTTCATTAGACTTTCCAGCATCCGTCCTTTCTGGTTGACTAAAGCCACACCTCATTATAAGCCGCATGGTTCAAAGCGTGGGAAAAAAGTAGCGGCTTATAGTCCGGAAAATACGGTACTTTTGACTCCGATGGTCAGAGCCACCCCAGATGTTATTAATGTACAACAGGGTGAGAAACAATGTTTAATATCATTTTTGTTGCTGGAAATAACACAAAAGCATTGTTTGTACCATCTGTTAGTCAGCTGATGGTTTCACATATGAAGGGGTGTCCCCATCACTAGTGCTGCAGGAGCACATCTGCACACCGCTTAGGGCAGGCTGTGTAAACAGTTATTAGGAAGATATATATTCAAAATATCTAAAAATCTATTGTTTCTATTAAAAACATTCCAAATAATCCATAATAACCTTCTCAATATACACAGTGATCATTTCTGATGTATTAAAGAGTCATTCACCCCCCAGCGTTATATCCACCCACACTTCCTGTTTGAAAAATGCACTTAAAGGAGATGTCATCTGGTGGATCAGGAGAGCTGTGGCGTCGAGGAAGTGACTGATAGCCCCCCTCAATGTCCATCAGAAGCTGGGTCTTGGTACGTGGCATGTCACCACTCTGGAGGGGAAAGGGCCTGACATGGTGCATGAGGTTGAGAGAATCCAGCTTGATATAATCGGTCTCACCTGGATGCATGGCTCTCGCTCAGGAACAAATCCCCTTCATAGGGGTTGGACACCCTACCTCTCTGGAGTTTCCCTAACTGAGAGACGCAACGCAGGAGTGGACAAACCCCTGCCTGTCAGTCACTTCCTCGACGCCACAGCTCTCCTGATCCTGATATATATTCCATATAGTCCATGGCTTCCTTTTGTCCATATATTCAGACTTTCAGTCCATATATTCAGACTTCGGTCCATATATTCAGACTTTCAGTCCATATATTCAGACTTTCAGTCCATATATTCAGACTTTCGGTCCATATATTCAGACTTTCGGTCCATATATTCAGACTTTCAGTCCATATATTCAGACTTTCAGTCCATATATTCAGACTTTCGGTCCATATATTCAGACTTCGGTCCATATATTCAGACTTCGGTCCATATATTCAGACTTCGGTCCATATATTCAGACTTTCGGTCCATATATTCAGACTTTCGGTCCATATATTCAGACTTTCGGTCCATATATTCAGACTTCGGTCCATATATTCAGACTTTCAGTCCATATATTCAGACTTTCGGTCCATATATTCAGACTTTCAGTCCATATATTCAGACTTTCGGTCCATATATTCAGACTTTCGGTCCATATATTCAGACTTCGGTCCATATATTCAGACTTCGGTCCATATATTCAGACTTCGGTCCATATATTCAGACTTCGGTCCATATATTCAGACTTTCGGTCCATATATTCAGACTTTCAGTCCATATATTCAGACTTTCGGTCCATATATTCAGACTTTCGGTCCATATATTCAGACTTTCGGTCCATATATTCAGACTTCGGTCCATATATTCAGACTTTCGGTCCATATATTCAGACTTTTGGTCCATATATTCAGACTTCGGTCCATATATTCAGACTTTCGGTCCATATATTCAGAGTTCGGTCCATATATTCAGAGTTCGGTCCATATATTCAGACTTTCGGTCCATATATTCAGACTTCGGTCCATATATTCAGAGTTCGGTCCATATATTCAGACTTTCGGTCCATATATTCAGACTTTCGGTCCATATATTCAGACTTTCGGTCCATATATTCAGACTTTCGGTCCATATATTCAGACTTCGGTCCATATATTCAGACTTTCGGTCCATATATTCAGACTTTCGGTCCATATATTCAGACTTCGGTCCATATATTCAGACTTCGGTCCATATATTCAGACTTCGGTCCATATATTCAGACTTTCAGTCCATATATTCAGACTTTCGGTCCATATATTCAGACTTCGGTCCATATATTCAGACTTTCAGTCCATATATTCAGACTTCGGTCCATATATTCAGACTTCGGTCCATATATTCAGACTTCAGTCCATATATTCAGACTTCGGTCCATATATTCAGACTTTCGGTCCATATATTCAGACTTTCGGTCCATATATTCAGACTTTCAGTCCATATATTCAGACTTCGGTCCATATATTCAGACTTTCGGTCCATATATTCAGACTTCGGTCCATATATTCAGACTTCGGTCCATATATTCAGACTTTCGGTCCATATATTCAGACTTTCGGTCCATATATTCAGACTTTCGGTCCATATATTCAGACTTCGGTCCATATATTCAGACTTTCAGTCCATATATTTTAGACTTCGGTCCATATATTCAGACTTCGGTCCATATATTCAGACTTTCGGTCCATATATTCAGACTTTCGGTCCATATATTCAGACTTTCGGTCCATATATTCAGACTTTCGGTCCATATATTCAGACTTTTGTCCATATATTCAGACTTTCAGTCCATATATTCAGACTTCGGTCCATATATTCAGACTTTCGGTCCATATATTCAGACTTCGGTCCATATATTCAGACTTTCAGTCCATATATTCAGACTTTCAGTCCATATATTCAGACTTTCGGTCCATATATTCAGACTTCGGTCCATATATTCAGACTTTCGGTCCATATATTCAGACTTTCGGTCCATATATTCAGACTTTCGGTCCATATATTCAGACTTTCGGTCCATATATTCAGACTTCGGTCCATATATTCAGACTTTCGGTCCATATATTCAGACTTTCGGTCCATATATTCAGACTTTCGGTCCATATATTCAGACTATATTCAGACTATTTGCTTTTATATGAAACTTTTTTATATTTGCACTAAAGTCCAAAAGTATGTAATTTGTTATTTATTACTTGATTGTGCAAGCTACCTCACAGAAGTGATCTGTTTGTTAAAAGAGTTGCTAAATGGAAATTAAATTTAAAAAAAGGAACATTCTGGTCCTGTTTCTTCGTTTTCTTTATTCTTTTTTATGTATCGAAAGTGTCGGCTCGGGTTTCGGTATCAGCAGATTCTCTAAATCAAATGACTCAGACTCGAGGGCAAAAAGAACTGATCGGGAACATTTTCATTCTGGGAAAGTTGGCCTCACAATAAAGGGTTGTTTCATCATTCCTTTATCTTTCCCTAGTACGCCTTGTCCTGCCATCGTGGAGCCCATGGAGCATTTTGATGATGAGGAGGGTCTACCTGAAAAGATGCTACAGAAAACTCCAAAGTACCATAAGTGAGTGAAGTTTAAGTACTTATGAAACGCTTAAACGATTTTATGAGGCGTGCTTTATTCTTTTCTGCAGAGAGCGAGCGCATCAGCCACACTTCGCCCAGCCCGGCACGTTTGAGTTTGAATACTCGTCTCGCTGGAAAGCTCTGGACGAGATGGAAAAACAGCAACGAGAGCAGGTGGACCGGAGCATTAAAGAAGCCAAAGAAAAACTGGAGGCTGAACTGGAATCTGCTAAACACGAACACCAGTTGATGTTAATGAGACAAGGTAATGACATGATGTTTATTTTTTAGCCAGTCATCTTTATTTTTTATTGGTATTGGGGTTTATTTTTTTCCAGTTATTTAAAAAGTAAAAAAATCTTTAGAGTAACTAAACTCAAAAGTAACAAATTTTTGCTAATTAACTGTACAATTGGGTCTTAACAAATGCAATCTTTCTGTTTCTGTGCATTTTTTGACATGTTTGTGTAAACTTGATTACATCTAGAATCTAGGTCTAAAAACGTCTCAGTGCTGCCCCCTGTGGCAGAACAGCGGCTACTGCATTTTAAACTTGTGATTGGCTGGGGCTAGGACAATTTCATGTCATCGGTACAGTCTCCTCCCACTCCTCCCTCCCCGGATGGAAATTCCCCACACTTGGCCATGCCACTCGTGCCTCCTGGCAACGCCCACTTTCATGGCATTTTTCAAATTTTGACTAGGGGTGGAGTTACATTATCTGATGGTGTGCAGTCCCTCTTTAAAGATTTTAAATCAGCTGAATTCGGTGTTCCACAAGGTTTTATTTTAGGAATCCTGTTTTTGTTTTTTTTTTTTTTTTTTTTGTTTCTTTGCCGATTATTTTAAAGTAAATTTTTCTTTGTTTCCCAGATCTAATGAGACGTCAGGAGGAGCTGAGGAGACTGGAGGAACTTCGAAACCAGGAGCTGCAGAGACGACAGCAGATAGAAATGAGGTTTGTCTTTTTTTTTTCCTATGAATTAAAACCTGACCGGGAATTGTGAGAAAAGCTTCTCCCTCCTACTGTTTCCATCCATCCATCCATTTTAATGCTGCTTATCAGGGGTCGGGTCGTGGGGGCAGTAGCCTACTCAGGGAGACCCAAGCCCTTTTTCCAAGCAATGCCGTCAATTCGCCGTGGCGGCATCATGGACCCTTAGGACGTTTAGAAGTGGTCAGACCGTGGCGGTAATGGGGCGCAATCATGTCTCTTTCCGTTTATCTTGGACATAACTTGCTTTTTTTTTTGCGATTGAAGCCGCGCTAACAACGAGCTAATGCTAACATGATCATCCAAAGACATTACTCCTTTACATCTAGGTTCCACAATGATGCCAACAACAACAACAAAAAAGAGTCAAACTTCTTTTCTTGCTAGCCTTTATATTAGCCATCAGCAGATTAAATGGCTAACAGCCATAAAACAGGTAAAGAGCTCCTCTAGTGCACGTACCCATCCCACAAAGCGGTTGAGGGTGGTTTCTGGTCAGCAGACGGCTGCAGAGTGCTATCCAAGGTGAAGATGGTAAAGTTACTACCCAGTGAATCACTGAAATCAGCTTTTAAAGTTGATAGAGTGGCTTAAAGTGGTAAACTGTTTAGTGTTGCTTTAAGACAAATTTAATTGTTTATTTGGTTTAAAGCTCAAACCAATTAAAGCTACTGTTGTTAGCAAGTCGTGTTGTTTGCTTGTGGCCGACTGGTATTATTGAAGTTTAAAATACAGATCATTTACGCCGGTTTGTGGTTTTGTTCTGTGCTTCACAGCTTTTATCTGATTTTATTTGTTCTCCGCAGACACGAGGAGGAGAGGAGGAGGAGAGAGGAGGAGATGATGAGACACAGAGAGCAGGACGACCCGAGACGACAGCAGGGCGGCTTCAAATCAAGCTACCATGAAAACGTGAGTGCACTCACACACGTATGATCTATCAGATATTTGTTGCTATCACAGAAGAATGTTGTGACATTTCATTTGTACAGTTTTTGTTAAATTTAACATTTTCGATTTTGGTTGACCTTTGCGTTTTGTTAAAGTGTCCCATAACTAATGCAAGTATCAGTCGGTGTTTAATATTTATATTTTGTCCAGTGCAGTGATTCTGAAATATAACACTTTTTTTTTTTTTTTACTAATACGTCTCTTTTGTAACGTTATCTGTGATTCTATCCCTCTGTGTGGATCTCTGGAACCTGTTGTCAGGGCAACAACCAGAAGCTTCAAAGTTGTATTTATCTTTCAAAATGACTTCATGAAGTCAGACCAGTGATTGTAGAGCATGCTCAGTGGTTACTGTTGCTACAGCATGTATGAATACTTATGGTGGCCCAGAAGGTTCAATGGAATACAAAATCCACAACAAAAACAGAAGTAATAATTAGGGATGGTCCGATCACCTGATTGGAAATCTGGTCCGATTGTGTGATTTTAAGATATAACTAAGCAACAAACATTACTTTTTAAATTCTTGAGAAAGAGGTTCTCAAACAGAATGTTGGGGAGTTTATTTTAGAGATATAAAAGAATGAGAAAGCAGTCCATGATTCAATCTAAAGGGTTTAATTTCATTATTGCAATATTGAAATGAGGAGATGTCACAGAGGCTTTTCCCAAAGCAGCCTCCGGAGTGGACCCCTCCCCGCCCTCACCCAATGGGCAACACATTCTCACACCCAAGGCATCAAAATATGACGCGTGTGACCAAGCCTCAATATATGGCGATTCGGGACGCCCAAGCGCGTCGCGCTTGGGCGTCCCGAATCGCCATATATTGAGGCTTGGTCACGCGTCATATTTTGACGCTTTGCCTGTGAGAATGTGTTGCGATGGGGAGAACAAAGGAAGGCCCAACAGTGTTATTTGTAGGTGTGATCTGTACCCTTACCTTTGGGTCATGCTTACAGGAGACGGGGGTGTAAACGATGCTTCTCCTGCTCTTTGAAGCAAAACTGTCAGGAAACTGTAGCGACAAAGAAAAACTTTTATGGCCGTCATAAAACCAACTTCTCTGGCCCCACTGTAAGCTTGTAAGGGTCAAATAAGTAAGATAGATCAAATTGATCCTTTACAGGAATAATAAGGGCTTAGTTTTAATTCAACAAGTTCCTCTACATCACTAGTCTTGGTTTCACAGACGACACCACCATAAAGTCCCACAATTTAAGGTAGTCCGGGAATTCAGGCACCATATGATGTTGCAGTTAGCTAACACAGAGCATAGTTGTCACCTCAAAAGAGAGAAAATGTCTGTAATTTGGATGTACTTTTAAATAAACAGCAAAGGGAGTTTAAAACACGTGTAATGTGTACAAACTGGGCCTTTAATGTGGTGGAAAAGGTAGCGCTGCTTTCAACACTGATGCACCACCTTTAAAAAACTGACCCTGCTCAGTTCGCTGAATCAATGCAGGTAAGTAAACCGACACTAAAAGATACATTAAGAAGCCATTAGGGAGGACAGAATACAAGATAGGTCTCTACGCAGACGATGTTCTGCTGACTCTCGCGGACCCAGAAAAAAGTCTGCCCAACCTATTGACAAAGATGGAAATGTTCGGAGAACTCTCTGGATATAAAATAAACATCCAAAAAAATCCAAGTGATTACACATAATTACACACCTACGGCAAGGATCAAAAACATATCCAAATTTAATTGGAACAATGAAATAATTACATATCTCGGTATTAAGATCCCCAAAATACTGACAGACATCTATGAAATAAATTACTCACCAATTACAAAGGAGCTAAAAGAAAACATCAAAAGATGGAGCATACTGCCACTTGATTTATATAATAGAATCGACACGATCAAAATGAATATATTGCCTCGACTACTTTTCCTCTTTCAATCTATACCGGTACATATACAAGCCAAACAATTTGCACTATGGAACAGAATGCTCTCGGGATTTATATGGAAGGGCCGCAAACCTAGAGTTAAATACACAACACTACAACTGCCTAGGGAGAAGGGTGGACTTTCCCTCCCAAACTTAGAAAGTTATTTTAAAGCAGCACAATTAAGATATTTACTCTATTGGTGTGACCCATTGTATGTGGCAAAATGGAAAGATTTGGATATGACACAATTAAAATTACCACTACAGACAATACTAGGAGATAAAAAATTATATCTGGAAAAGAAAAAAGAGTTAAATGAATGGACTAAAACACCTTTAAAGATATGGTTTGACGAATGTGAGAAACATGAATCAGACACCAACATAAAACAACTTAGATGGGTCACAAGCGATAGGGAATTCTCCCCGGCACAAATAGATGGCCGCTATGCGGACCATTTTGCTCAATAGCAGGGAGCGATGGACTACATAGTTTTGACAAATTAAGGGACACATATGGTCTGGAAAACCTGGATTTTTTTTAGATATCTCCAGGTCAGGTCTTATTTCAACTGTAACATAAAAAACACGGAAGAACAGAGGGACGGCCTAGTCTCCCTTATAAAAGAGGCTCATCAAAGTAAGATTAAAAACAAACAAATTACTAAACTTGATCAGAATCTACAATCACTCAAAGACCAATCAACTAATTATATAAAAATTAAATGGGAAAGGGAAGCACAAATCACCATATCGGATGAAAGCTGGGCAACTATATGTGAAACACAGAGGAAAACTACCAGTTCGGGTTACTGGAGGGAATTCACTTGGAAAAATTTTACCAGGTTCTTTATAACCCCTAAAATAAAATGCAAACAGAGAGGCCAACAGAGAGAAGGGCATTGCTGGAGACAATGTGGGGAAAACATGGCAGACCACTTCCATATTTTTTGGAAATGTCCGGTAATTCAGCCATATTGGAGGGAGATGGTCGACACAATGGCAGTCGTGACGGGTTGTGAGGTAGTTAAGGATTTCTGTACTGTTTACTTGGGTGATATCCCATCAGTAGTCCCCACAAGAGACAAATATTTAATGAATATCATGCTGGCAGCAGGCAAAAAAGCGCTTACCAGGAAATGGCTAGAGAAGAATGCCCCAACAAGGAAAGACTGGCAGGGAATAGTCGAGGAAATATATAAGATGGAAAAACTGACAGCCTTTTTGAACCTTAAATTAGACAGTTTTCATAAGAATTGGGAGAAATGGGAGAGATTTACTAACAGCAATACCACACAATGATGGAGGGCAGGTAGTATAACTAAGGTTTAACCTACTCCCATATGTTTACTGGAAGTGGAAGAGCCTGTTGTGGATACGAACACTTTATAATGGACTGGAAACACCCGGTAAGAACACCATCAGAGGCGGAACATTAAGGGCTACATAGACCCCGATATATGGACAAAACCAGAGGTCATGGGACTCTGAAGAGAAAGGAGGATGGCTCGCCCGGAACAGGGCGGACCCGACGGTTCCACTGTGCCAATTGTTATTGTTATTGTTGTTATATGTTCTATGTACCTTAACAAAACTTTCAATAAAAAGAGAATATATATATATAAAAAAAAAGATACATTAAGAAACCAAAAATAATCTACGGACAGCAAAAATGCCAAACAGCAGCATGTTTACCACTGTGGATGAGCGTCTGTGGTGGTAATTGACGGGTTCTGCTCTCTCCTTGAGTCGCAGTACGACCTGCTTTCTCTTCTTACCTTTACAGTCAAAGCAGCTCTACTGGTGTTTTGCAGAAAAAAGTTATTTGTCATTGAAAACAGCTGCGCACTTAGTAGACTACTCTTACTTGTAGTATTAACACGTTTCTTATACAATTAATTAATTTATTTTTATATATATTCTTAATATTAGCACGTTTCTTATTAAATTAATTAACAATTTACTTTTACATATATTCTTAATACTAACACGTTTCTTATTAAATTAACAATTTATTTTTACATATATGCTTAATATTAACTTGTTTCTTATTAAATTAATTAACAATTTACTTTTACATATATTCTTAATACTAACACGTTTCTTATTAAATGAACAATTTATTTTTACATATATGCTTAATATTAACTTGTTTCTTATTAAATTAATTAACAATTTACTTTTACATATATTCTTAATACTAACACGTTTCTTATTAAATTAACAATTTATTTTTTATAAATGCTTAATATTAACTTGTTTCTTATTAACTCGTTCACTGCCAATGACGACTAAAGTTGTTATTAGCAATTGTTTGCTGTGTGAGCGGCGGACGAGCCCCCGCACCGTGAGAACAAACATCTCAGCTCTAAAGCCGATTTTCATCCGTATACGTCACAAGTCACATGATCAGGAAGCAGAAAATCCATGTGTTAGGAGATCGTTTTGGGCCGCTGCTGTAAAAAAAGGTGAGGCGCGAATCGTAAAAGCTTCTGCCGATCACAATTCAACAACGGATTATGAACGAACGCATAACGCTCGAAAAGCGCAGATCCTTCCTGATGTAAGAGGTGAGTCTCCTCTTTGTTTTGGTAGTTTTGGCGTTGACGTCATCCTAGCGTGTAACGTTCTGACTCTTAAAAATAACACTAAAAACACAGAAAAATGCTGGCAGCGAAGGGCTTTTCGCACAAGGAGAAAGCTGGCAGTTAATGATTTAATGTACTTCTTAAACAAGTGACGTTTTACGGCAAACAAACTGAAGAAATTACATAAATACAGAAAGAAGGAAACACATCAATGATGAAAAATAACTACTCTAGTACTCTAGTGTGTTCTCCTTTTTTTAACGCATTTCTAAAGTATCGGATTGCGACTCGGTATCGACAGATTCTAAAAATCAAATTACACTGAATCGGATCGGGGGCAAAAATCGTGATCGGAACATCTCTAGTAATACAAAAGTGGTAAAAAGTACTACAATAAAATAACATAGAACTGAAGTTATGGTTAACTGGAACTTATGCTAAAACATAAGTTGTGTATGCCTAAAATGTAC